CACAGAGAAGGATGGCGCAGAAAGTCACTGTGGGCAGACAACATGTTTGGGGAACGACTGACCTCATGACGTCAGAAGAACCTGAAAAGAAAAAGCTTTCAGGGATAGAAAGACATTCAGCAGCCACTTCGTTCAAAGGTCCTTACCCTGAAATGCACGCACAGCCTTACTGCAGGGGCCTCAGGGGCCCTGAATTGCCTGAAATTCTACACCAAACTTTTAATATATGAGTATATTGTATTTCTCTTAGAAAAATGTTCAGGATAGTCCCCATATTGTTCTTGCCAATCTTTCCCAAAAGAGCCCACCCCGTCCCGACTTTCGCCCCCTCCACACAACCTAGCCAGCAACTCTAATTCCTCATTCCTCAGCTCCCAACAGCCACACTCTACCCCCTGGACTCATGCTCTTCCTCCCTCTTATGATTGCTCCTCTCTGCTTCTCCTCTTCCTCAGGTATGGGAAGATGGGTAGTGATCTCCCCACCACTGGAAGTATGAATATACGGACTGCATAAACACCTGGAAGGGAAATTCTTTTTTTTTTTTTTAAGATTTTATTTATTGGGACACCTGGGTGGCTCAGCATTGAGCCTTTGGCCCAGAGTGTGATCCTGGAGTTCCGGGATCAAGTCCCCCATCGGACTCCCTGCATGGAGCCTGCTTCTCTTTCTGCCTATGTCTCTGCCTCTCTCTGTGTGTGTCCCTCATGGATAAATAGATAAATAAATATATTTTTAAAGATTGTATTTATTTATCCATGAGGGACACACACACACAGAGGCAGAGACACAGGCAGAGAGAAAAGCAGGCACCCTGTGGGGAGCCCCACTCGGGACTCCATCCCAGGACCCCATCCCAGGACCCCGAGATTACACCCTGAGCCAAAAGGCAGATGCTCAACCACTGAGCCACCCAGGCATCCCTAGAAGGGAAATTCTTAAAGAAATTTGTCTTATTTGTAAGCAACAGAAACCGACCTGAGATTGTAGGATTCCTTTCAGCATGAAAATCCTTTGGCATTGGTATTCTCCAGGAAGTCCTCCTTCCCTATTCCTATTTACCACAATCTCTTATCTTGTTTTTTTAATAATAAATTTATTTTTTATTGGTGTTCAATTTGCCAACATACAGAATAACACCCAGTGCTCATCCCGTCAAGTGCCCCCCTCAGTGCCCGTCACCCATTCACCCCCACCCCCCGCCCTCCTCCCCTTCCACCACCCCTAGTTCGTTTCCCAGAGTTAGGAGTCTTTATGTTCTGTGTCCCTTTCTGATATTTCCCACACATTTCTTCTTCCTTCCCTTATATTCCCTTTCACTATTATTTATATTCCCCAAATGAATGAGAACATATAATGTTTGTCCTTCTCCGATTGACTTATTTCACTCAGCACAATACCCTCCAGTTCCATCCACGTCGAAGCAAATGGTGGGTATTTGTCTTTTCTAATGGCTGAGGAATATTCCATTGTATACATATACCACAGCTTCTTTATCCATTCGTCTTTCGATGGACACTGAGGCTCCTTCCACAGTTTGGCTATTGTGGACATTGCTGCTAGAAACATCGGGGTGCAGGTGCTTGGTCTTATCTTGTTTTAATGCTAATACTTTTTACGTGGGGTGCACAACTTAACATTTGCTTTGTAACTTGTTTTGTATTGTTCCCCCTCTTTTTCTATGCATAGGTCTAATGTAAGAAAAAAAAGCAGATTATAACTAATTCAAGGACAAGAATCTGAATCTCCTTCCCTTGTACTTTCACTATGTCTTGCCCAAAGGGTGACCAATCATCCCAGTGGACCTAGAACTGAGGAGACATGGGACTTTGAGAGCTAGAACTGCAGAAATCTGGAGCGAACCAGAATGAGTTAGTCACCCTATTTGCCCAAGAAATGGGCACATTGTACCTGCTTGTTAATTGCTAACTGTGGTAGACATTTCTGCTGCTCACCAGTATTCCTGGTTCTCCTCTCCTTCTGGGTACACATTGTACTTTCTCATCCCTTTGAAGTTGAGCATGACCATGTGACTTGCTTTGGCCAGTAAAATATGAGCAGACAATGTGTGTCACTTTTGAGTGAGCACATTCAAGACCCTATGCTCTATTCTCTGTATATACTCTTCTCCTGCCATGGCACAAGTTGAGGGGATAGTGTTGAGATGACTGCATCATAGGATGGTGTAGAATTCCATGCACTGCAGAGTCCCCTGCCTCCCCATACTGGACACGTAGTGGGAGCAAAACTCTGCTTCACTCATAAGTCACTGCATTTTTATATTTTCACTACCGCAGCAAAACCTGACCTAACCTGACTGATACATCACCCAACAGAAGTTTCAGTAGACACTTAATCAAGGTCAAGTTACTGAAACAAAACAAAACAAAAAACTCTTTAGAGTTTTTTCGTAAGAAGGAACTTTAAAGCATATAAGCAGAAAACCAGTTGTGTGAAAGTGGGAAATCTGAGCCCAGTCTCCCAGGAAGCACCAAGAAGCTGGAGGCAAGAGCTTGAGAACAAAGGTTCCAGGAATAGAATTTGCCTTCCTAGTTCCTACCCACCAGCCCAAGCAATTGATTTCAATTGGTGGGATTTAAATTTCAGATCAATTTTGGAAAGTGCAACTCTTCAGGGTTCACATGCAAAACTTTCCAAAAGGGGAAGCAACTTGTTCAGGATCAGACAGGGCACTCCTGGTTACGATCTCCCGACATTTTTTGGCCATTTTGCCTATTATTTTTTTCTTTTCTACCTAGTCTATAGTCATTGTCCCTTTCTTTGGGATTTCATATATTAACCCCTGTATTCACTTGATGCTGAAAAACTAGTCTCAGTCTCATGAATGGATTTAGAAACATATTTTATTAAAAACTTTTTCTTCTCATAATAGTGATTTTCTTATAACAATAGTCATAAGGATATACCCCTTTTTAAAAATCTCACCTATACAGAGTAATCACTATTAATACTTTTTAAAAGTAAGAATGGATTTGTTACTTTTTTTAATTTTTATTTATTTATGATAGTCACACAGAGAGAGGGAGAGGCAGAGACACAGGCAAAGGGAGAAGCAGGCTCCATGCACCGGGAGCCCGACGTGGGATTCGATCCCGGGTCTCCAGGATCGCGCCCCGGGCCAAAGACAGGCGCCAAACCGCTGCGCCACCCAGGGATTCCGATTTGTTACTTTTTTAATAAAATAAATTCATCCGGGGATCCCTGGGTGGCGCAGCGGTTTGGCGCCTGTCTTTGGCCCAGGGCGCGATCCTGGAGACCCGGGATCGAATCCCACGTCGGGCTCCCGGTGCATGGAGCCTGCTTCTGCCTCTCTCTCTCTCTCTGTGTGTGACTATCATAAGTAAATAAAAAAATAAAATAAAATAAATTCATCCTACTCAGTATTTTTACTGGTACCGTGACTTTCTATTTTTATAGATATATCATAATTTACTTAATCAAGCTCCTTTTTCTTGGATATTCAGGTTGTTTTGGGTTTTGCCTGTTTGCTGGTTTGCTTATTTGTTTTTAAATCCTGAACACTGTTTCAACAAACATTGTAAATTTAAGGAGACACTCTTTCTTCATTGCCTGTTTAGCACATCCTACAGCAGTGGCTCTCAAACTTTAGCAGGGGTCGGAGTCACCTGCAGGGCTTGGGAAACTATAGATTCCTGAACCCCATCCCCGGAGCCTAGGATCTGTAGGTCTGGGTGAGGCCTGATCATTTGTATGGCTAACAAAGCTGTCTGGTAGTGAGGTTGCTGCTGATTTGGGGACCACACTTTATGAACCACCGTCCTATATTATTCTTCCTTCCAAGAACCTTGTATCATCTGTATCTTTAGTTTCCTTTTTTAGAACCTGCTACAATTGGTCTTATACTCTGTGGAGGGGGAGGTTCCTTTGTGGTCTCATACTCTTCCTCATTCATGACTGTAAGTCCCTCTCACATTAGCATACCTTCCCAAGTGTCTCCGGGCCTTGTATAATTTGCTAATAGATGCACAGATACACACGCACGCTGATTTTCAAAGTTCGGTGTGGTTTTTTTCTGCATTGCCACTCTCAGAAACCCCGGGTAGTAACAAAGTGGCAGTAAATAAAAATTCTCTTGCCCAGGCAGCGACAAGATCTGTCCCTTATTCCCACCGCCTGTCTACTATTTCACAAGGTGGTTGTAATCGGTACCGTCATCCGTCCAAGATGGACAGCGTATTACAGATGCTCGTGACCCGGAAAGAACGATTGAACCAGAAGTGAAGAGGCATCACAATTAAACTAAGTATCATTGTGTATTTGTAGGGAAGTGGTTCAAAGCTTAGGGTCACCAATTAGAACTAGAATTTATTTGGGCTCCGCTACTCACTAGCTGGTGAGCTTAGGCAAATCACGTCTCTGAGCCTCCCTTTCCTAACCTGTAAGGTGGAAGGAATAATACCTTTGTTGCAAGGAGATTGGGGGGCTGGGGGGGGGAGTAATACGTGCAAAGTAGCTGGCACAGACACAGCTCTCAAGAAACAGTAGCTGTGGGATCCCTGGGTGGCGCAGGGGTTTAGTGCCTGCCTTTGGCCCAGGGCGCGATCCTGGGGACCCGGGATCGAATCCCACGTCGGGCTCCCGGTGCATGGAGCCGGCTTCTCCCTCTGCCTGTGTCTCTGCCTGTTTCTCTCTCTGTGACTACCATTAAAAAAAAAAAAAAAAAAAAAAAAAAGGTAGCTGTGTGTTTTCTAAGTAATTGTTTTAATTTTTTTTTTTTCCTTCCTGAGCTTTTCTCTGCCCAGGGCCCGGAAAAGCATCCGTGGTTCGTAGGGATCTTCGGTGCCCCGGCCCGAGGTGGTTGCCTGTCGCAGAGTCGGGTCACCTGCCCGGGGCGGCGGCGCCGCGAACCCCGGAGGCCCTGCTCTTCGGGTATTTACGGCGCGCGGCCGCCCCAGCGCCGGCTCAAGTCTGCGCTTCCAGGTTCAGTTTCAGGGTCTCGCCGGCAGCCCCGGCGGGCGGGCGCGCGGCGGGCGGGTCCTCGGGGCGGGGGGGGCGCCCCGGAGCCGGGCGGCGGCGGCCGGGAGCCCCCGGAGGAGGATGGGCGGCGGGCACAGCCGGCTGAGCTGCTGCAGAGCCCCCAAAAAGGTAACGGCTGGGGCGGCGAAGTTTGCCCCGGGAGGGAGGGGGGCGCGGAGCCGCTCCGCCGCGGGCCCGTGGGCGCCGCCCGCCCCTCCGAGCCTCCCGGGGCGCCGGGCGGAGGACGGCGGGGCCGGCGCGGGGGAAGGGGGCAGAGCCGGCCGGGCTGAGCCGCGCGGGGCCGCCGAGGGCACCCGCACGGCGCCTGGGCCCCGCGAGCGCCGCGGAATCGCCCGGGGCCGTGGCAGGTGCCGGGTTCCCCTCGGTCGGGGGCTGCTCGCTGGGCGGCCCCGGCCAGGTGACGCGACCTCTCTGGGCCTCGCGCGCCTCCCGCGTCCCGAGGCCGCTCCTCGCAGAGTGGCCCCACCCGGGACCTGTGAGAAATGCAGACTCCCGGGCTTTGCCCCGGACCTGCTAGGATGGGACCCGCCTTCTAACGAGCTGGCCAGGTGATGACAGCAGACGCTGAAGTTTGAGAAGCGCTGGTCGCGAGCCTCTTGGGGGGCCCCAGCCGGTGCACGTGGGCTGTGCTGGGGGCAGCCGGGAGGGGCCAAAGAGGGAGGAGATCTACCGCCTGCTGCTGCCCTGCGTTTCCTTCCTGTCCCTCCCCCCGAGGGGCCTCGGAGCTGGGTCAGGACCCAGGAGACTCTACTCGGGTTTCTGGCAGTGGGACCAGGTGCCCCTGGGTTCTGAGCAGCCCAGAAGGTCAGAGCCTGGAGCCGAAGGACGCCTTCCTTCGGGGCCCGAGCCGCAGAGGGGAAAGGGAGGGCCCTCAAATTCTAAGCCTTCTTCCTACTACTGCCTGCTTTTCAGCCAGGTGGGAATAGGTGGTCCCATGAACTTGGTGAGCAGTTCGCTGGGGACCCTGAGAAGCCCCAAACTGCAACAAAATGTAGTTATTTTTCATAAAACTTGAAAATCTCTCTCTCTCTCTCTCTCTCTCTCTCTCTCTCTCTCTCTCCCACTTTGCTGGGACCAAGGCAAACTTTCCCGGCCCTGTGCCTCGTTCTGAGAGAGGAGTTTTCACCCCAAGTACAATACCTCCTCTGCTTCTCTTGCTCCTCCTTTATTCTTAGTTCAGAAAACCTCGTCAGGCTCTGACTGGGAATCCCTCACATCTTCCCTTACTGCAGCAGGGAAACTGAGGCTTACCTACAGCAGTGGAAGCAGAGGGCTGGCAGATAGGGATTGTGGGCAGATAAAGCTGAGCCCAGCTTGAGACCCGAAATGGAGCTGGCGATAGGTGGACATCAGTCCTGGCTCCACTGCAGACGTGCTTGGTGAACTGGAGCAAGCCCTTATCACTCTCTGGGCCTCAGTTTCTCCCTCTAGGGGGAGAGGGAGGGAGATGAGCAGGAAGATTTCCAAGGGTCTGAGAGTCTGTACCTGTGTCAATGTCTCAGTCTGCAAAGTGGGCCAAGAGTGAATTCCATCCAGGCAGGGGCAGAAGGAGACCAGAAGAGGGGCCCTGTCCCAGGCCTGACCCTTCTAACAGCGGGCATGGGTTCCCTTGCCGCCTTGCCCTTCCAAGAGCCTTACCAGCTGTCCCTGTCTGTCCTTGGCACAGTCTGAGCTGGATGACCCTCCCCTACCACCCCCAAACCATGAAAGGCAAGTAAAGCCTGCACAGACTATCTCAGCGGGAAGGGGCCTTGGGTACCACCTGGGCTGATGCATGGATCAGAGGGTAAGGCCTGGAGAAGGGAAGGTCTTGACCAAGGTCATAGAGTAGCTTAGAGTAGAACCCAGGCATCCAGTCCCCTAGCCCAGTGCTCTTTGTCTCTTCCCCTACTCTGTGCTTCCAGTGCCTTCTTATTGATTCCAGAGCCCTTTGGCCCGAAAGCCTTCACTCTGTTGCCTTAGGCCAGTCTGGCACATCTTCCCTGTCCCAGCAATGCCAGGCCCCTGCCCCTGTGTGGCAGGATTTATAAGCCAGTTCACTTAAATTTCATGCCTGTTTCCATCCCTCCAGGCTGTGCTCCTGCCCAGTTTCTCATCCAGGTGCCAAACCCCGGAAGGCCTGAGCTCCCAAGGCCATCCCCACTAGCTGTCATTCCCTCAGGGAGACCCAGGGCTCTAAGGATGGGATGTACAAAAATGAGCTCACACTACAGAGGGGTTAGGTCATGGTCACAATGACTCACGCTGAGTGGCAGTTTACAGAGTGCTTTCACATCCTGCGAGCCTTACAAAAGCCCAAGAAGTTAGGCTGAGCTGCCGAATCTTCGCCACTCTATGGGTGAGGACACGGAGGTTCGGGGAGAAGTGATGTGTCCAAAGTCGTAGAGCCAGTTAGTGGCAAAGCTATTCAGCAGAGCCTGGTTTTCTGCACCCCTGCTGGTGCTCATCACCTCCTATGGAGCAGGTGCTGCGTAAATATTTGAGTGAGCAGATGAAGGCCAGCCAATCAGGGTCGGGGTTAGCCCCGGGGTGCAACAGCACTACCTCACCCAGCCTTGAGAAATACAGGAAGATTCCTTGGATGTAGGGAGACGGAGGGGTGGGTGAGGATGCCTTGGCTGAGCACTGAAGGTTTGGAGGCAGAGAGAAGAGCCCGAGCTGAGACTGAGCCAGAGCAAGTGCAGCATGATGGGCTCACTGTGGAAAGCAGGGGTGGCAAGCAGCAAGGAATGAGCCCAGAGCTTTCAGCGGGCGCTGCCCTGACTGGGGACAGAGGCTTGACCGTTGGGACCTCTCAGTCCTTCCAAGTTCAAAGATTAGAGGGTGTGCTGAGTTCTGTAGTCTACTGTGCCTGGTGGCCTTAGCCAAGACACCCCACCTGAGGCTGTCACTGCCTCATAGGGATGAGTTGAAATCCTGATGATGGCTGAGCAGGGATTCCTGGCAGGTGGATGCTGAGGAGCCATCTGCACTGTCTGGTCCTTCCTAAACCCATCTTGACTGATACCATGGGTGATATGGTCATGTCCCCAGGAAGACTTGGGAGGAGGATGGGCAGAGAGGGGAGAGGCCAGGGAAACATTTTCCACGAACTTGCCTGTAAGAGTGACATGGGAGTACAGAGGGGCCTTCCATCCCCAGTAGCTTCCACCCCCCACTCCCCGGGCAGGGGTGGGGAAGGGCACCTAGTGCCTCATGGTCAAGCCCCTGTGTGTGTGCCTGGTATGATGTCTGAACTCCCCGGTCCCCAGGACTCTGGCACTGGCCATGGCACCACAGTCCAGAGCAGAGTGGCAGAGAACCCACTCAGCACGGTTCCCACTACTGAGCCTTGGGCACCAGGTTCTCAATGGGTCCGTCATGCAGGAGCCCTTCATGAGCACCTCCAGGTAGCAGGCCGGGTGAGAGAGAGAGAGAGAGAGAGAGAGAGGAGAGGGATGCAGAAGTGAATGGCCTGGAAGAGCCCGGCGTGGGCGTACATAATTCTGAGACCAACCATGGCTGCTAAGGGCATGGGCTTCAGGGCAAGGTTCATGCATTCATTTACTCACCGGGCACAGCAGGCTCTGCCTAGGTGCTGCCCCGGTCCTAGCTCTATCGCACATTGGTTAAGTGACTGTGGAAAGGACTTGGCTCCTCCATGGCTCAGTTTCCTAATCTGTAAGATGGGTGTGAAATTAGCTCCTGGGTCATAGGGTTGTCTCAAGATTAGGAGAAAGAATGCATGCAGTGGAGCCCCTGAGACACACTGACTGGCAAGAATAGAGGTCATGTGGAGAATGTCATAAGGAGACTTTAAGGACATCACCGCCTAGATTGTACCCAAGGAAAGCAAACAGGGATGTAGGAAACAGGGGGACATTCATGTCCCTGGAAGGCTTTTGGGGTTGGGGACATGAAGCCTGGAGCCTGGCCATTGAAGTGTTGCCAAGGGGACTTGGGGAGCAGCCTTGTTTTCTGTTATTCCAGAAGGCAGAATTGTGGCCGGTAGGGGAAGCTAATGGAAGCCAGATTCCACCTGTTCTGAGGAAGAGGTAGCGAGTTCCCCATCTCTGGAGGAGTTCAAGCAGAGGTCAGGTGACATTTTGGCAAGAATAGAAGAGGAGATGCAAGCCTAGGACTAGTAAATATTTAGGATCCACTTAAGAAATCTAATTCCGGTTATTATAATGTTTGAGGCAAAATTTCAGAACCTGGGGGAGCCTGGGTGGCTCAGTCGGTTAAGCGTCTGCCATCGTCTCTGGTCATGATCTCAGGGCCCTGGGATCGAGTCCTGCATCAGGCTCCCTGCTCAGTAGGGAGCCTGCTTCTCCCTCTGCCTTTCCTCTCCCACAGCTTGTACTCACTGTCTCTCTTGCCTTCACTCTCTCTCAAATAAATAAATAAAATCCTAAAAAAGAAAATTCAGAATTTGGAAAAATATAAAGAAGTTTAAAAAATCACCCTTAAGACATAGCCTCTGCATACACTTCAGTGTCCTTCTATTTTTCCTATATAAATAATATCCATGAGGGTGACTTATTACACAATTGGCAATATATTTTAAAGTGGTTATATTCTAGTTAATATTTTGCTGGGGCATTCTTGTTAAATAGTCCATGGAAACATGATTTTTAATGGCCACTTAATATTCTGCGGATGTTCCATGGCTTATTTAACCAGTTTGGACACTTGGTTGTTTACATTCCCCACTCCTACCCTCATTATTCATGAGCATCTTTGTGTTTTCATCCTAATGGGTGAGAGGGGTGGCTCTGAGCTCAGAGGGGAGAGGAGGGGCTGAGGGAAGGCCTCCCTAGAGAGCTGGCATCTTGGCTGGGTTTTGAGGGTTGGTGGGGTGGGGCTAGATAGTCCAGGCTCCTGAAACTTTGTCAATAGGAACTGGGCAAACCTGACCTTTTAGCTTGGTTTGCCAAGGATGGGACAATTGAACGTGAGAGGAAGCTGACTTTCCTGGGCACTGAGCCCCTTGCCCCAGGCATCATGGAGATGTTGGTGTGTATGTAGCCTCTGAGCTGATGGGGTTTTGCCCACCCCAGAAAATCATCCCAGCTAAAGCCAATACAGGCTTCCATGCATTGCATTCTGAAAAGCTTGTGAGGTTAAAA